GGTGCAAGCAGTTCTACAGGGAACTACCACCATAAGAGTATTGTTAGAGCTTTACTGAAGTCCCTGTATTTCTAGCAGGATGAACAGGTATTTTCTGTACTTGCAGAAAATGTTCTTAGGTTCAAAAAAGAAAACTAATGCATCCACCACATCTAAGGACTGGTAAGTTGTAATATATTACATTTTTGCTTTTGGGTTTAGATAGCATGCCAACAACAAATAGGTAGTATTCTGAATGTAAATTATATTAAACCCTCCACTTTTAGCAGCTAATGTAATCACATGCTAAGTAAGCAGCATCTTCATCCTTTAATACTTGCCTCTATTCCAGTTTAAGCTTGTGCCATGACTGCCGCCCCAGGTTTCCTGTGTTAGGGTTGCTCCTTTCACCTTTGCATGCAGAGACTAGAGTTGCGTCTCCCTACACTGTGTGCATCAGTGGAAACAAAGCCTCATAGCCTAGAATGGCAAGGCACTCCCCTACCACTAACTCCTCCTCTCCAAGCTAACAGACTGGCTAAAGACTACACTGTCTGCTCTTTCCTGTGAAGAACAGAAGTTCAGGACAGTGGCACTGAGAGAGCAGGAGCCAGCAGCATTATTATTATTTATTACCAAATAATTTATTTTATTGAAAATGTGTTAAAGGATAGGTTCACCTTTACAACATGTTCCAGCCGTTTTTAGGGTGAAACATATAACATGTTCCCATAGCTGCAGCCGCCCCCCTCCCTCTGACAGATAGCATGGGGAAACTTCTCCCTGTACTGTGAAATTTGAAAACAGCTCCACCCACATGGTCACATCATTCATTCACAAACTTCTGTGAATGATGAAAACTGCAAGTCCTGGCAGCCTTAGTTTTCAATGAACTACCATGGTGCTGTGGAGCGCCGCGATAGTTCATTGAAGCTTCCTGTCAGAATATCTGCTTACTCGTACATCCCGTACGGCAAGCAGATATTCTGACAGGCCTGCAGGAGACCTGTATAGCATCAGGGATCTACTGATCTACTGATCGCCGGTGAAATGCTTTCCAGGCTCCTTTGGACAAAAATAATAAATGCACATTTTTTTTTACCTGCAAAAAGAAAAAAAATTTACATTTATTATTTTTGTCCAAAAGGTGAACACTGAGGGTTTAAAGTGACATCAAACCATATCCTTGTTTTTCAAATTTAATCCATACACAGCCATTACTTTATAGCCTTTATATAAAATTGTTTTTTTCCTTCTCCTTCTAAACAGCCTTCGTGAGTTCCCAAACCTCTCCTTAACCCCAGACCCCCACTTTCTTTTGTTTGGAACAAGCAATGCTGGCTCTATGAACACTACACATCCCAAAGTCTCTAGTTAAAGGATAAGGTCACCTTTTAAAAAAATAAATAAATGCACATCTTTTTGCAGGTAAAAAAAAAATGCAAATTAATTTTTTTTTTTCAGCCTGTAAAACATTGCACTAGCGATCACGGGTGCCATGCCGGACTCCTGCAGACTTTTCAGTGTATCTGTGTGCTTGTACCCCATATGGGCAGACACACTGACAGGAAGAGACAATGAACTAGCACAGCACTCAACGTGCACCGTTTAGGAGATAGTCAGTGTCCCTGCAGCCGATGATGTCACCGGTGCAGGCACTTTGAAGGAATGGCATACTTGAGCCTACGTGAAGATGGAAGGCCTGTCAGCAGTGACAGCGTGCCACTGGAGGGCTTTGTTCTAAGGTGAGTCTTTCATAATGTGCTAGTATGTGATGCATACTAGCACATTGTGACAATAGTTTTCACGGGAATCCTTTTTTTTTTTTTTCTTTTTTAGGGGGGGGGGGGGGGGGGGTTTACTACAGCTTTACCTCAAAAGTGAGAGTAGCTATGCTCCTTCGTACAGTGGAACCATGAAGAATCAACCCTCTAACAGAAAGTCAGATCTCAGAAGAAAAAAAAAGAAGAGGAATTTGGAGGTGGCTCTGAACAATAGATGGGACTTTGAGTTAAAGTAATTATAAAGGTTTCATGCATTCTATGAATGAAGGTAAAAAACCTTCTGTGTGCTGCAGCTCCCCCAGCCCCCTCAATACTTACTTGAGCCTCATCGTGATCCAGCGATGTGAATGAAAGCCTTGGCTGTCCTGAGTCTCTGCCTCCTCATTGGCTGAGACAGCCATTGGCTACCGCTGCTGTCAATCACAGCCAGTCAGCAAATGAGGAGAGATTGAGGGTGGGGGCCAAGCCACGGCTTCGTGTGTGAATGGACACACAGCAGCGGGTGCCCCCATAGCAAGCTGCTTGCTATGGGGGCACCTGACAGGAGGAGCCAACAGAGCCTGCAGGGGACGAGAGGAGGAGGATCCAGGCTGATGTGCAAAACCGCTGCACAGAGCAGGTAAGTATAGACATATTTGTTATTTTACAAAAAAAAAAAACCCTTTAGAATCGCTTTAAGAATACATACTTGAATAGAAATAGAGTTTAGTGTCACTTTCATACTACTTTAACAGTACTGTTAATAATCAGAGTGCATAAAGGTTTATATACTACAAAAAACACATGTACTTCCCACTTAGGACCTATTAACCCCTTGAAGCCAACGGCACACAAATATGCGGCCTCACGGAGCTGGGCTTTTTTCTGTCAGGCTGCATATTTGCGTACCTGTCTTTGTGCTGGGAGCGTGCCGCTCGGCGTGCTCCCAGCACAGACACCGCGGTGTCACGGAGAGCCCCGGGTCCCGATCGTTAGAACGGGACCCGGGACTCCCAATTCCAGGTCACGTGATCGCTGTGATAGCCTCTGATTGGCAATGACAGCGATCAGTCACTGTGCAGCCCGGCCCCCTTGTTTTTTTCTCTCTCTATGAATGGAGAAAAGAGATACATTGTATCTCTCTAACTCCTGACATGGAGAGATAAAAAAAAAGTTTGTTAAAAAAAAAAAAAAAATTAAGTATTAAAAAATGAAAGAAAAAATAAAGAAAAATACCTAGATCAAGGTTTGATCTAGTTCAGTGCCAGGGTTAGTGTTTGGGTCAGGGTCAAAGGTCAGGATTTAAAGAAAAAATAGGTGTCAGTTAGCATTAATGTCAGTGTGTTTTAGGTTAAAAAAAAAAAAAAAAAGACAAAAAACAAAATGCACGCTATTGTTTCTGGGCTGTACTATGGGTACAAACAACAAATAATACACACATATATGGTATCGCTGCGATCGCCAAGAGCTGGAGAATTTATTGTGGGTTGTTCTATGGAGGTAGGTTATGGTCATAACAAGAAACACACAGCTAAATAAAAAAAAAATAAAAATTTTGTTTTACTATTTCCTTTAATAATAAAAAAAAAAATTAGGAGCTATCCATTACCATTTACCATCTAATGAAAGCCCAATTTGTCCTGAAAAAAACAAGGTATAATCCACCTGGATGTACAAAGTAGTTGTGATATGTACAGTTTTACTAACACGTCAGCGTTGCAGAATTGTGCTTAGGCATTTAAATTTGTTGTACCCTTAGGCGTGAAGGGGTTAAGTTAATAGTAAAACAAACTCATAAAATGTTAGTTACAGCACCCTCACAATTCTAGAAAACTAGTGAAGTCAGACTGGATATAAACCACATTAACAATGCACACGTATTCATGGAAAGTGCATCTCAAATCAGCTACCTAGCTTACCAATTACCCACAAGAACCACGCATATGGGTTCATTCAACAACACTGTGCAAGTATGAAAGCTGTGCTATAGCATCCAATCAATTACCATCAACCTGGCCATTTTTCACAATTGTATGCATGGAGTTAAAAAAAAAAAATCGGAAATTATATTTATAGTGGCTTCAAGGATCAAAATATACAATATATATCTATTAGCACACAGACAGCAAGTTGATGGACCTGCAATAAGTCCATAATAATTAAACAAAAGTGTAAAAGAGAAGTTTTTTGTAAGTTCAGAGCACATGGCTATTTGTAGTAAAAAAACAAACAAACTGTGTGCTACTGAGAAAATTATGCAAAAATACATCTTCACTTTTTTGCAACAACTAAAATCTCTATATATTTGTACTATAGATTTCTGTAAAGGAATGCAATGAAGGAAATGTAGCTGTATACTTACATTGTAAGTGGAACGCTGACCATATGGATCGAGAAAAAGGAAGAGAACATGTAGCTGGAAGCAAAAGGGTGGAGAAGTGTGGCAGTGGGTGGGAAGTAACCCTTTTACCGCCAAATGTATCTGAGCTTTCTTGCCTATCAATATCTTTAATCTCTACAGTTTCCTTGCAATGTTTTGCCTGCAGCGTACACTAGGTGTCTGTGCTCCAGCGAGGATTGACAAAACAGCTTTTAACATATCCCTTTTGAATCACATAAAATTTAGCTGTTGTGATAGTTCATCCCATCAAACAGGTTGTACTGGTGAGACATGACTACTATTTATTTACTTCAGGTACTTATATAGCGCCATCAGTTTACGCAGCGCTTTACAAATATATTGTACATTCACATCAGTCCCTAACCCTCAAGGGGTGTACAATCTAAGGTCCCTAACTCACATTCATACATACACATACTAGGGCCAATTTAGACAGGAGCCATTTCACCTACCAGCATGTCTTTGGAGTGTGGGAGGAAACTGGAGTACCCGGAGGAAACCCACGCAGACACAAGGAGAACATGCAAACTACAGGCAGGTGCTGTGGTTGGGGTTTTGAACCAATGACCCTAGTGCTGCCAGATGGAAGTGCTAACCATTTAGCCACTGCTAGGCAGCAGGTCAGCCACTCTTAGCTTAGAATGCATCCAGGACAATTGGGTTGGCAATTAGGGTTGCCTCCTCATCCCTTTAACCACTAGCCTACAGGGCACTTATACCCCCTTCCTGCCCAGGCCAGTTTTCAGCTTTCAGCGCTGTCACACTTTGAATGAAAATTGCGCAGTCATGCAACACTCTACCCATATGAAAATGTTATCATTTTTTTGAGACAGATAGAGCTTTATTTGGTGGTATTTAATCACCTCTGGGTTTTTTATTTTTTGCTAAACAAACCAAAAACTAGTGAAAATTGCGAAAAAAAGTTTTTTCTTAGTTTTTGTTATAAAATGTTGTAAATAAGTGATTTTTCTCCATCACTGATGTGCGCTAATTAGGCTGCAGTGATGGGCACTGATAGGCTGCACTGATAGGTGGCACTGATGGGGAGGCACTAGTAGGTGGCACTGATGGGCATTGACAGGCATCACTGATGGGCACTGAAAGGCAGCACTCATATATGGCACTGATAGGCAGCACTGACTGGCACTGATAGGCAGCACTGACGGGCACTGATAGGTGGCACTGATAGGCGGCACTGATAGGCGGCACTGACTTGGCACTGATAGGTGGCACTGACTGGCATTGATAGGTGGCACTGATAGGTGACACTGAAAGGCAGCTCAGATGGGCACTGATATGTGGCATTGATGTGCACTGGTAGGCACTGATATGTGGCATTGATGTGACACTGATGGGCACTGGCAGGTGGCATTGATGGGCAATGACAGCTGGCATTGATGGGCACTGACAGGTGGCACTGCTGGAGCTACACCGATCATCAAGGCACACTGATCATCAGTGCCTTGATGATCAGTGTACATGCCCCCTCTGAGAAATGCCGATTACCGGCTCTCCCCTCCTCACGAGCTGACAGCTCGTGAGGAGAGAATTGCTGATAACCGATTGGACACACGCTGATTACATGACCAAGCCGATATCTTTGGCTCTTTCCATTGATTGGTAATCCGCTGTGTCCGAGGGACACAGCGCACGGCCGATCGCCGTGCTGCGCGCTCCCGAAGCCGCGCATGCGCCGTTAGAGTGGGAGGACGTCATATGATGTCCTCCCAGAACGAGAGAACCGCCTTGCGCCCATCATTACCTTATATGGCAGGCGGGAGGCGGTTAAAACCGAACACTTATTAAATTACACAGATTCTGGGGCTGATTAAGCTGGTAATTAAACTCACTTGGTGCCTTATCTGCATTAAATTAGCCTCAGAACCTGTGCAATTAACACTGTATGTGTTCAAGTTTAAATGGATGAGGTGGAAACCCTATTGGCAATACATGTGTAGGTCAGTTCAAACTTTCTGACCAAGCTTAAAATTTCACCAAAAAGCGTTATTTAAATTATAGGTGGCCTGAGGCAGCCCATGTTTTTGATAAACCAACAGGAAAATATGAGGCGGCATCAATTTACATATATATTGTACATTCACATCAGTCTCTGCCCTCAAGGAGTTTAAAATCGAAGGTCCCCAACTCACACTCATACACATACTAGGGCCAATTAACCTATCAGCATGTCTTTGGAGTGTGGATGACTTTCCTTTTCACCAGGGAGCTTTAGGTATGTATTTATGTAAAATCTGCATTCCAAAAGGAAAAAAAATGTTGCGGTCACTGATTATAAAGTGTGAGCTAGAGTTTAGCTTCAATTTGTTAATGTATCTAAATCTGCTAGTTCATTGAACACTCCCCTTCCCTCAGACTAACAATGCTGCTGTCCAAAGGTGCCCAAATGCTCCTTCATCCAGAGAGGATGTTCTCTAATACTGGAGGTGTGTAACTGGCCAGATCACCAGGTGAAGACAGAGGGGAAACAGCATAAAAAGAGAACTAATGCAACCACCTCATCTAAGGATTGGTAAGCTGCCATATATTATATTTTTGGGTTTGGGTTTAATACTGCTTTAAACCACCCAAAAAACATGCATTATATTGCAGTGAAACAATTCTTAGATGTAGTAGCTACACATTATTTTTCTTTTTTCCTTTACTTTTACCTGGTGATCTGGCCAGTAAGTCTGGTATGTTTCAACTCCCTTTAACAGACCAAGCTGTCCAGTAAAAGTAGTAGAGGGTTGAGGCCCACCATTTACCACTGACAATGGGTGCTTGCAATGATCTGCTTTTATTTATTTATGTAAAAACTTTATCCCAGAAGTCAAAAAGGTGTTGCTGTACTGCTTAAAAGCATTAGCTGGAGTTCAAATTTAAATTGTAAGTAAAATGCATCTGAATCTGCTAGTGCATATAAAGTCCCTTACACATGGGCTGAATATCATCCGAAATCAGCCAGTACAGTAGAAACTGGTTGACAATTAGCCCATGTGTACAGATCCTTGTCCGACAAAAACCGATCTCACGGCCGGCTTCTGTCGAACAAGCACGCTGGAATACCAGTAGCCAATCGGCATCTGATCAGCCCTATCAGTCTCTGGCTGCTGAGCGGTGTGTTCTGGTGGGTGGGCAGTCCTCCCGTCAGAACACAATAGCTTATCATAGAGATCACTGTACTAACATCCCATAGGATCCCCGCTGGGTTGAAAGGAAATAAAAACTTAGCATGTGTACCCGGCATTACACTACCCTCTCCCCAGTCTGGCTCCTGTCCAAGGGTGTCTCTGTTGCTCCTACATTCAGAGTGGAGACACCCTAAAGCTGAGCTGAGCATAGCATGATTGAAATCCAGCTGGTTAAGCAGGGACCATCTAGGTTTTGATCAGTGTGTGGCCCTTCCTGTTCATAAGTTGATTGTTACATAGACTTCTGTCGAATGTACATGCTGGAAAACTTTACGATCAGTGGCTGCAGCCTCTGATCACTGTGTTCTGACAGCAGCTGCTGTCAGAGTACAATTTTCTGGCTGAAGGCATTCCTCCATCCACCTTGCATGTACAAATTAAATGTAAAACCTCCTTTCTTGCAGATAATACCTTAAGCAAAGAAATCAGTATTTGGAAGTATTCAGGTATAGACCTCCAAGTATATAATTACTCTAATATGAGGTGATGTGTAAATATATGCGCCGTTATTGACCTAAAAAATTCTAGTTGCCTGGTAATGATTTTAATGATTTCCAAGTCATTGACCTTGAGGGCTTGTTCACATTGGAATGCGGTGCAGGAGAGCCATGTTCGCGTGCGGCTTCCTGCAATGCATTCCAATCGCAATGCCCTTGTGATCTGCTGTGGGGGTCAATTAAAGTTAATGACACCCCTAACACAGGACACAGATGCATTACGTTTGCCTGCACCGGCTCACACCAAACCGCATGGTACAAAGTGCCATGCGATGCAGTTGCCGCACGTTTTAAAAAAAAAAGTAGTGCATACACTACTTTTAGCGCAGTGCGTTGCGATTTAATCCCATTGAAATGAATGGGCATGAAATAGCACTGCATATACCTGCATATGAGTTGCACAGGAACGCACAGTGCATTCCTGTGCAATTCATATCAGGGCATAGGAGTGTGAACCGGCCCTGAAACAAGCATGCTACAAGTGAAAGAACTTCCAATCTACATTTTCTAGGTTAGTAACCAGGTTAGTATTGAAGCTACTCAATCAGCATGACAGTGAGGCAAACAACATTTTCAGAATGACAGAGTAATGTGTATGTAGATCCAAATTTAGTTTTTCAGCATGTTTGGCATAATTTTCCACTGTACAGAATTTTCTTAACCTCCCTAGCGGTCTGATTATGTCAGCATTTCTGTGCTCAAAGCGGTACATTGTTTTCAATGGAAATATGTCATTTTTTTATTGTAGGCCTGTAATTCTTAGGAATAACTCACTGAAATCTGTCTGTTCTGTCCCCACATGAAGGCGAATGAAGATATAACTGATAATGGCTGTGTAACTTCCTACCTTCATATCCAAGCAGTGGAGCAGACCGGACCGGCAGATTCTCAGGTTAGATGGATCCAAACATATACACGGGAATGAAATCGGCGTGGGTTTATTTGGTCCAAATACAGCGACAAACAGTGATACAATACTGTAAGGTAGTAGAGGTATTGATGCTGTCCTGTGATATCTTTCCTGAGGCTAACTGCTGGTCAAACACTGATGCCTTCACAAGCCCAGGGTATTGAATGTCCTGTCACACAGCTATAAAACACATAAAATGGCTGCAGGAAGTGACCAGAACCAAGGCTTGCCTAAAACCACACCCAGCAGAGGAAAAACTTTACTAGCAAAAGCAGAGGCATGCAGCATGCAAATTCTGGCCAGCAGATGGCAGCAACAGATCAATACAATAAAACAAGCCTGGTGAAATAAGAATTGGTGATACAATGCACAGTTAAATAACAAATAAGAGGAGAACAGCACACTGTCCGAACAAGAGTCTAGTAAACATCCCGGGTATGATAAAATTTGAAACACGAAATCATAAATTATAATATAATAAATAATCATAAAATATAATATAATAATAAAATTTAATTCAATAATATAATCAAACCAAAAACACTGAAATTTGAAATAGAACGCCAAGTTCGCACATCACTGAGCAAAGTCGCAAAATCGTTTTCAGTGTCTGATGACGAATTTCCCCACAAATCATTATCACTCAATTCTGCAAGTGATTCTGATTTACTATCGCTGTTCTCTAGCTGGTCTAAAACCGCTTTTGACATAAAGGTATGCTTTTTGGATGCCATGGACGTTTCTCAGTTTCCAGGCAGAAAGAACAGTAAAAATGCAGGCAGGGCACAGGACAAAGCACTCGGGACAACATGTGAAATGCTTTGATACAGTAATGTTTTACTATGTGATTTTAGTGTATTGAGTGAATGTGAAATCTTTACATTTTTGATTTTCCCGCCGGTTCCGTCCCCCGTACGTCCAGACACTCACAGGGAATGGAAGACGGATGCCGGCATCGGCCGGAGGACATGGCCGGGGGACGCTGCAGGGGGGACATCGCAGGAAAGCAGGACAAGGTAAGTGCTCAAGGGATCCCAGAGCAATGCTGCAGTGTAATCCCGAGTGTAGCTTGGGGTTACCGCTTGTAGTACTGAAACTTAACCCAGAGCTACACTCGGGAATACCGCCAGGGAGGTTAAGCAAATCATATTTTGTGACTGCTGCAAAGTTTTTGTCTGGACATCCTGGGATTAATACCATTTTTTGCAGCAGGGCAACAATACTGAGCAACTTCCTCTTTATTAGGAAGAGAGTTGTCAGCCTGCCGCATGTGCTCCTTCAGTTGGCTTTTGGGTTGCCTTCATGCACAGACTTGATCGATAATCCAACGGCAAGTGGAAAAAGTGCCATGGCAAGACGACAACCTTACTTCTACTTGTGAAGCAGTGGTTTACCATTCAGCCTGCAACAGGAAATACTATTAAGCTATAGACCTATAGATTTCCTTCCATTCAGACACTACACAGTGCAGATGGACAAACCTTCCCTTGCGGCAATTGTAGTTTGACAGCTGTCCTCCCCAGTTGTCAAAATACCCAAACAATGCAGCGTCTTAGGCTAGGCTCACATTTAAGCAGTTTTGCTTACAGTATTTGCGTGGACACAGCAACCCATTCATCTGTTTCCTGCAGGAATAGGTTCCATGCACTTTTTTTAAAGCGTGGTCGCATGGAAACCACATGGTGCTTTGGCACCATGCGTTTCTGAGCACAGGAAACCGCACTGTATTTTCAGTGTGTGGGGATGCCGTTAAGAGTTAATGGCACCCCTTCGCATTTTCTTAAAGCAGCGTGTTTTTCGTGCGGCTGTATGTGGGTGCAGGTCTGTGTGCATTTTGCAAGCACTCCTTTACCTTTAATTGTGATGTGTATCCATGGCTAAGCATGTAATGTCATACACATTGGCTTGAGTATGCCAAACTTTTACAAAGCATTTACCATCAGCTTTCTTTGTAAATATTATTCATACTTGTTTATTTTTTACAGCATTTTAACCATTTGCCCTCTGAGAATTTAGCTCTATTCCTGACCAGGCCACTTTTTGCGTTACTTTAACTGACAATTGCGTGGTCATGCAACACTGCACCCAAATGAAATTTACGTCCTTTTTTCCCACAAATTGAGCTTTCTTTTGGTGGTATTTGATCGCCTGTTCGTTTTTTATTTTTTGTGCTATAAAAAAAAAAAAAAGACAGAGAATTTGGAGAAAGAAATATTTTTAAACTTTTTGCTATTAAACATTTCCAGAAATGAAAAAAAAAATTTTCGTCATAAATTTACGCCAAAATGTATTCTGCTAAATGTCTTTGCTAAGAAAAAAAATCCCAATACGTGTAAATTAATTGGTTTACGTTAAAGTTATAGCGTTTACAAAATGGCGGTATATATACTGGTATTTTTTTCTTATTTACTAGTAATGGCGTGATCAGCAACTTATAGCAGGACTGCAGCGGGCATTCTGACACTGGGGGGAACTGACTTGGTGTCACTGACATCCCCAGTGACACCAATACAGTGATCAGTGCTAAAAAAAAACCCCACTGACACTGTACTAATGGCACCGGGCAGGAACGGGTTAACATGAGGGGCAATCAAAGGGTTAACTGTGTGCTGGGAGTGTTTTACTAGGGGGCAGTGTCAGTGTGCTTCACTATAATCACATTGCTTTGGATGGCCATCCAAAGCAGTGTGTCCAAGCTGACAGGGAGGAGAACTGTTAGTAAAACAAAACAGTCCTCCTCCCCATCAGAGATCCTGGGAAATCCACCAGCCGGGACCCGGTGATTGACAGCCCCGGCCACGAATAGCAGCGCGGATAGTGCGCGTGCCCCCTACCCGGAAATGCAAAATCACGTATATACACATGTAATTTTGCACACACCTGTGCCACCTTGTAGCAGTATTTCTGCTATAGGGCAGTCGGGAAGCGGTTAAGTAGGAATCTACCCTATGGGACTGGTTCATATCTGTGCATTGCAGTTTTGTGGTAAAGATAAAGGGAATTATATGGGCCCAAAACTACGTGTGTGCGTTACCAATGCGTCTTGCAACAATTTTAATAATTATGCTATGAAAATACCTACTGTCCGCACTAAAGAGGCACGTTAAAACTCTTTGGACATTAAAGAAATAGCAGTATGATGATAAGCCATTACTTAGCTCTCTCCTCCTGTCAGCATATGTGTGGGCATGGTATTGAAGACATTTTAGTGTATTAATTGGTGTTTTTTTCTCATGTGCCTGCAGTAACCTTTAACATTAACATAGTGTGACATCCACCCTCTTGTATACTACCAAAAACATTGGAAGTTACAATAGTTTTGTAAGAGTACTATACAGTTGCCATTGTACCCAACAGCCAGTTTTTCCCCCAGTGTGACATTGTGGCCATTGTTCTTTGGAAAAACTCATCTTTCTGCCCTTATAGTTACTTCTGTGATTTATTGTATGATAAAACTGGGCACACCTTCAGTAACAAATCATACAGTGAGATGTCACTAAGGAATATATATACATAAAGATCTCTAATGATAAAAAATTCAGATTATAACATAAATCTTACATTTGCCCCAAAGGAAGAGGAAATTATTTCCAAAAAAAAAACGGTTCATGCAGCACAATTTGTCGATTTTGCTACTTTTCCCCACACCCACCCCAAGGGATAAGACATTATTCTGTCTACTTGCCAAAATTCCACACTAATAGCATGAATAGTAATTGAAAACGTGACACCATGTTCTGATCTCATGTAATCTCACTCTGCTAGGAAACTATTGTTTTTTAAAAAAAATAAAGGTAATATGCAAACCAGGGTGTCAGACAAATCATCTGTGCTGCATGTACAGCTGCACAGGGATCTCTGAAGTCCTGTAACCACAACTACCTCCATAGAAGCTCACACAGCTGCTATAGGGCCTGGAGGTGTGGGAAAGTGAGTGGCAGCATCTTGCATTACTCCTTAATTGTCCATCCCTCCCTGCACAGGGTCTGGACTCCAAGCTTAATTTGTACCAAATTGATCATCTTCCTGACAGTGCCCAGTGGAGGATCTGGCCAGCAATTTAGGCGGACCCTTCCTCACCAATCCCCATTGCAAGTAGATACTTCTCCAATATCCACCAATGAAAAAGGGTATTTCACTTACCCCAAAAAATATGGCCAATGTAAGGGAGACTTTTATTATTGACAAACAACGTTAAGGGAACATTTACACTGACTACCCATATAACAGGGACTTTTAACACCGCAAACCAATGTACTAATAAAATCTGGGCATTTACAGTGACTGCCAGTTATACTGACCATCGTTATACAAGAAAACAAAGGTTTGTTATAATATTTTCTTGTCAATGGTTTTTATTGAATTTTTTACACGTGCAAAGAGTTAAATGCAAACAAGTACATGCACATACAAATCAGTTTGATGGGTATAAACCATTTACTGTCCTGCCATAACAGAGCTGTGGCTAGAGATGGAAAGGCATGGAAAAAAAATGAAAAAAACAACAACTTTTTTTTGTGTGGAATATGTTCTTTTCCAATTATGAATAATATATCTATGACACGGTATTCAAACTATATAACACGAAGACCTTCATGAAATCTGACACTTTATGTAAAGTATTAAATCTTTGCAAGTTTTCTCAGCTTAGGACAACAAATCCTGGAATACAATTCAAGCAAAACCGTACTTCTCAATCCTCAAACAAGAGGAATATGCAATTCCACCACTAGGGGGGGACCGGAGGGGAAAGGCTCCAGTTTAGTTTGCTTGTGTGTTCCATCTTGTACCTCCTACAGTTGGGTAATTGTTGGGATACAGCAGATGATAGCTTCTGTCCTCTCAGGCCTTAATTGACAGGTAAGAGGGTGACTTTATTTGACAAATGAGTTTACATTTAGAACCTTTAAAACCGATTACTATGAATGTTCTCCACCCTCACAGTATAATCAAGTGACGAAACGCGTTGGGCGTGGCCTAGTGGACGTGACGTCGGGACGTTCCTCCCAGCTGTCGGCTGTGAGATCACGGTGCAGGAGGTTCGTCCCTTGGTTTTTTCCCTCGTGGATGTGTTATTATAGAGGCTGTCATTGCTGGTGTCGGCTAGACACCTTCCTCGTGAGTGTTATACTTTACTAATAAAATTTTACTGGTTTTAAACGTACTGCACCATCATATCTCTTCTGTTTCCTCGAGCTTTGCCCATGTTATTGGAAGACCATTTGCTGCTTAGCTGTTCCATATGTGCTGCCTAGCTGTTCCATATGTGCTGATTGGATCACTATTGGTTGCTGTTCCTCTACTGGGATATCCTGCAGATCATTGCTCCCAGAGCAAAATGCTATCATGCTGGTTTTATAATTTAATCAGCATATAGCTCTGGTGAGTGTATTCATTTCATCTGGTGTCGGATTTGCACATGGGTGTTTGTTTCAAGATTGACAATAAATTGATATTGGATTATCACTGTTTTATGGTGGCTGGACTTATGTTTATATTTATGGATTTTATTTGTTATTTCTATTTTGCATTTTTTGTGAATAATTAGCGCGCTCTTTATTTATACACAATGTTTACCTATAGTCTGGTCAATAAACTGATTTTCTTTGCCTCCTCTCAGTAAAATGGTGAGACCAACATTAAGAGTTTGGAAACTTTTCCACAAGGCAATTTCTGCTGAGAGCAAAGCTGCAATTTACATTTGTAGAATAAATATTCTTTTCCAAATGCTAGAAGGATGAAAAAACACATCCTTGCATGTCATGTCTATCATCTTGAAACACATCAAGTGCCATTTCATGATCCATATTCCATCTTTCCTGCTTGTACATTAATTGTAACAGATAATTGTAACATATAAATGCCACATTTTGTATGTCAGTGGAAATTTTAAAAAAACAACATTCTGTGTTTAATAAAGGATAGTTTTAAAAAATGTTGATGAATTTAACATTTTATTTCATTTTATTTAGTTTATGACATAAAAATCCCATTACAAAGAGGGTGTCTCTACATATGGTTCTGTGAGGGATGACGGCACTACTTGTCACCACACTCACTATTTCTCCATTGCATGTCAAAGATGCCCTAAAGACATTAAAAAATACTTTATGAAATTAAATGAGGACCATAACAAAATGGCAAGTATCTTTTCCCTCCAGAGTTCTCATTCCACAACATTCTTTCTGCTGCTTCTGGATCATCAGAAAGTGTTTCTTCACCAGCAGCATCTTCAAGTAAGGAAGTGTTTCAAACCACGGCCTCCAAAAATACACAATCCCTTCATTTTTAGATAAAATGACACCTGAAAAATCAGGAGACCATTGAACAAGCTCTTGCAAGAGCAATATATGCTTCTGGATCTGGAAATGCATATTGGCAGGAAGCTTTTAAATAATTACTACCATAATACTGTTTGCCAAGCAGACATTCCTTGAGCAAGCCTCTTTTCAAATTTGTAAAACTACTCCACACTGAATTTTTGTCTTCAATTTTTCAGAAAACGTCCTTTTTTTTTACAGAAAGAAAAGAAAAAAAAAAAACACAGGGAAAAATTGTTTTTTTTTTCTCATGGCTTCAAAATTTCCAGAAATATTACATCTCTACTAGAGATGAGCGAATTTCTCAAAAATTCGATTCGGCTGATTCGGCGAATTCCAGTATGAAATTCGATTCGATGCGAATTAATTCGCTACGAATTTAACTTATTAAAAGGGTTTCTAGGCTTCAGGTTTCAACCGCTGTATGGAGTGAGTGTCCCAGAACTGTCATAAATAGTCTATTTCTGACAGTTCTATGACATTCCCTCCATACAGCGGTTTCAACCGCTGTATGGAGTGAATGTCCCAGAACTGTCATAAATAGTCTATTTCTGACAGTTATGGGACATTCACTCCATACAGCGGTTGAAACATTGTATCTATTTTTTTCCATAAATGACATTCTGCAGATACACTTAGAGGAGCGCTGCAGATGTATTTGCAGAATGTCATTTTGGAAAAAAATAGATACAATGTTTCAACCGCTGTATGGAGTGAATGTCCCAGAACTGTCAGAAATAGACTAATTTATAACAGTTCTTGGGACATTCCTTTCCATACAGCGGTTGAAACATTGTATCTATTTGTTTCCATAAATGGATCCATTTATGTAAACAAATAGATACAATGTTTTTTCTAACCGCTGTATGGAAGGAATGTCCCACAACTGTCAGAAATAGTCTATTTCTGACAGTTCTGGGACATTCACTCCATACATCGGTTTCAAACCGCTGTATGGAGGGAATGTCCCAGAAACTGTCATAAATAGTCTATTTTTGACAGTTCTGGGACATTCCCTCCATACAGCGGTTTCCGGCAAAAAGTGTATGTGCAGAGTTCCTCTATTCTGCAGATACACTTAGAGGAGCTCTGCAGATACACTTAGAGGAGCACTGCACATACACTTTTTTGCCGGCTTGGAAATTCCTTATTTTCTTATTAATTATTCTTATTTCATCCTACTTCCTCTTCTTCTTCTTCTTCTTCATCCTCATTCCTCTTCTTCTTCTTCTGAGGATGAGGATGAAGAAGAAGAAGAAGTAGGATGAAAATAATATTAATTCCAAGCCGGCAAAAAGTGTATGTGCAGAGCTCCTCTAAGTGTATGTGCAGAGCTCCTCTAAGTGTATCTGCAGAATAGAGGAACTCTGCACATACACTTTTTGCCGGCTTGAATTATTCTTATATTTTCATCCTACTTCTTCTTCTTCTTCTTCTTCATCCTCATCCTCTTCTTCTTCTGAGGATGAGGATGAGGATGAAGAAGAAGAAGAAGTAGGATGAAAATAAGATTAATTCCAAGCCGGCAAAA